ATTTTAATGACTAAAGCAATCAAAGTTCATTATTAATACCAGATTACTATAGTATTCATTTATTGACTGGGTTTAGGGCCCCAGTCCAGTATGCCATAAATTATTTTGAGCACAGTACATGTACATAAACAAGTCATTTGATAAATACAAGATTAATTCACATGTTGAATCTATACACATGTAGTAATGATTTCTTAAGAATTTAAAGCAGTTTTTAAAATTACAGTGTTTCAATTACTGCTATGTTTATTACCTCCAGTAATGGGCGGTCGTCCTGTCTATTGATCTTTGTATCAACTCTGATCAGGTGACCTGTTTATCGGTGTTATCTACCTGTCAGGTATTTATAAACACCTTCAGAACATTTATATTGTATTGAGTTTTTGATATGTTATAGTATAAACATTTTATATGCTCGAATTCACAATCCACCCTTTATTTATAGGTTTTTCTAAGTGAAAGTGAATGTTCAGCAGTTTTTGAATAAACTTTGGAGTAATGTCGTTTGCATAAGTGTGTAGAGATATGAAAAAAAGTATAATAGTGAGTCATTTGATTTCACAAATATTTTTTGACGAAATTTGGAAGCGATGTGAGGAATTCTAAACCTTCATCTTTTTTAGCTCTTCTGAGCCCTTCTTATGGCCATTTGTGTGGTGTGCATTGTGCGTAAACTTCTTAGAATATGGGCCATAACTCAAGAACCCCTTGGCCAATCAGTGTCAAATTTGTCACAGGGTATCCTTGGCCTAAGGGCTACCATTTGTACTAAAATAAGGATTGAGACCCTTAAATAAAGTGAGATAATCAGGAAAACAAAACCAAAAATATCTCAGGTACTTATTGGCTTTTTCAGTTGATGTACATATTTTGTATCTTGGGAATTCGAAAATCATCTACTCAAAAGGCTTTTATAGGCTTTTATAATAGCAGATCCTCTTGGAAAATGGAGATGGAAAAATTTTTAGAGGAAATGTCATATTTTTAAATAAAATAAAAGACAAAACAATCTTTAGATTATTTTTCCTTAAAAATACAATAACAGCAGGACCTTGTGACTCGATAAGATGAGGAATGTGGCCCACGGGCCTTTTGCTACCAGAGTTATCTGTCTATGCATTGAAAATGCAGTGTACTTGTTTTTCCAGAGTTATCTGTCTTGGAACTGGAAATCCGATGTACTTCATTTTGTTTTTTTGTTTTATTTTTTGCACTATATTTTAACAAAATTGTGTCACTGCAATAGAATTTTTAAAGGAAAGAAAACTTCTTCTAGATAAATCTCTAACTGATGTTTATCTTCTTTTGAAAAAAAGAATACCAAAAAATAATCCGGTACCAATTGTTTAATTATTTATCTATGTTTTCTATGTTTGATTTATATAATTACCGGCTTTATCTATGAAGGACCAGCCTCAACGTAATTTTTTTAAAATCAATTTTGAATTCAATAGTATCTCGGTTATCAATGTTTGTTTTATATATTTACAGGCTGTATCTCTGAAGGACCAGCCTCATGATAATTTCTTCCTCTACAACGGAATAGAGGGCAGCGGCTTAGTGGACAATATCTCGTCATCTTGACCTCTGAACCGGAGTTTATCTTGACCCTGGAACAATGTATTCGGACATTTTTAGATGAAATGCTGTCTGTATCGTTATTCATCTCATTTTGTCAGTTGATATTGTCAATAAAATAGTAATTCAACATACAGATTACACATTATTCTGTATTTTATGAAAGCAAACAGAAGAATACTGTAGATCACTAAATTTTCGCGACACCTTATTTTGGCGAGCAAGTCATTGACTCTTGATTAGCGAGACAAAATTTTCACAAATTGTGGTTATTGCTCTATATAATCTTAAGAAATGCTATTGTACGCGAGAATTAAATTTTCGCGAGCACACTATCTCGCGTAATTACGCGAAAATAAAGTTCTCGCAAATAAAAAGTGATTTACAGTACCCGAATATAAATTATTCATGACTGCAGTCAGGGAAGAACAGCCGTTATTTGTTCACGATTTACTGGTGAAATTAGACTTCCACGTTTTTACATTCAGATGGTGTCATTCCATGGATACAATAAGGGTCTGGAACTAAACCGTTCTGCAATCATGACCTAGTGTTTTAAAAGCTCAAATGAGTTATTAAAAACTAATATGCCGCAAAGTATATTCATATTTTAAATAAACTGTTTACTTAAATTTATTGTTTGTGACATAGATGTGCGTTAACGTTTGTTTCTAAGAAGAAATTATTGTAAAAGTAGGACTGATCTATTTAAATAGGTAACAATACTTGCACTTAAAATTTGAAAATGTTAGATAATCTTGATATAAAAAAGATACACATTTAATATAAATAAAATATATAATAAAAATATATACATTTTTGCCAATCAAAGCCATGAAAACTTTAATTGAGGCAACATCAGGGGTATCAACGAATACATATTCGAAATCTTAGGAAAGGAATGACTAGAGTTGACCATGTATACAAACAACCCCATAAAGTATAGACTTTATCAAATCACAAAAGATGTTCCTTTATTTAGTTTTATTAATGGCTTAATTGTATTTTGTAGGTAGTTTTTGTATTTTAAGGTTATAATTTCGAACGCATACATGAGTATGTCTTCATATTTTATATATGCTTTTAAATTGTGTTTACTTGCGTTTTATTGTACAGCGCTTTAGTGTTAATTAATTATTATTCAGCGCTTTATAAATTCATATATTATTATTATCATTATCAAATACCGAGTATTGTGATTAAATTGAAGATCTCGTTGAAAAAGAATGCTCTATGATACAGAAGAGAAGAGGTTTTGAACCTGACCAGTCTTCAAAATTTGCCACATTTTCATTTGCAGATTATTTTCGCCCAGGATAAGGGGATAAGAACGTAACTTATTTTCATCATGCATTAGTTGGAGCTCGGATGGCATTCAACACTGGAACAGAGAGAAGAATAGAACTAATGGGAAAATGTGTGTGAACCTGTAGGAACAGTATATGTAACCAACTTTTGATATATAACTGTAATTTGAAGTAAAGTGTTTATGACCAATTTATGTATTCCCTTTACAGTATGCCGAGAGTAGAATTATGCTTACAAGGAAAGAGAACAATAAATGGTATTTAAGGTTTCTGTTTTGTAGAGTGTTTCCCTCAGTCGACTACAGAGTGCGTTAGACGTTGACTGGCCCTCACAATCCGCTCAGCGTAAACTTAAAAGAACTCCTAACACGTACTTCATCATGCAAGGTCTGCAGATAAGCTAGATTCTGTCCTTGATTTAGTTTTTGCGTTCTTCATTGTCAGTTCTTTGGAAAAAGGATCACTATCTACAGATTGATTTAAACAAAAGTTTAAATTTTGGGCATATACTTTGAAAATTTAGTGATTTGTCTTAAGAATCAGTATATAGTTTTAGCGAGAAGTAATTTTAGCGATTCCAAGGATGTAAAGAAAGGAAACTGTCAACTCTGACATGGATTAATTTTTAGCAGTGTTTGAAAATCTCAACATTCTTGAGTTACTAAAAATGCAAAAACTGAATCCTGTCTAAAATTTCTTTCTATACAGTATGTCACACCCCGTGACGTCATACAGTAAAATGTGCAAATTTAGTGATTTAGCTCAAGAATCTGTATTTAGTTTTAGCGAGAAGTAATTTTAGTGATTATTGTGTAGAAAGATAGCTGTTAACTCTGACAAGGAATCCTTTTTGGCAGTGTTTAAAGTTAGTGATCTCAACACCCCTCAGTTACTAAAAATGTCAAAACTGAATCATGTTACAAATTTCTGCCTATTATATTTCATCCCTTGACTGCATACAGTAAAATGATAATATATAGTAAGAGTCTTCAAGTTATATAATTTAACAAAATTAATTTTCTTTGTGTTTGCAATGTTACACGATTTTATGAATAAGAGATGTCCTGATGTCAGACAAAAAGAGAACGACATCAAGCTATTAATAGAACAGAAAACAGCGACCCTGGAGAAACTGAAACTCAGCCCCAGCCTACTGTCAGATGAATTTGCCAGGTACTGTTAATCACTATATTACTGGGAACTTTATTTTCTCAAAACGAGACAGTGAAAACGCAAAAATTTCAATCTCGCATATATTTTCATATGTAAAGATTATAAAGAGCAATATCCAGAATGGCTGAAGCTGAATTTAAACAACCCTCAGGCTGACACTAACACTGTACATATATTTATACAGTTTCTGCTTCGCTGAGCTGAGTCCAGTGTGTGCCATTGTGGGTGGAGTCATGGGGCAAGAAATCATTAAGGTAAATGTCCCCTTTGTATACTGATATAAATTGCTTGTATTTATCGAATTATCTAAAAAACTGATTTTCTATTTTTAGGTACATGTAATATACAATAAAGTGCATGGTATAAAAGTTCTATATCCATTAGTTTTTATAAACTAAGTACATGTACAGCAAATAAACTCTGCCCATAATATAATGATGTATGATGAATTCAAACTGGAGTATTTTTTAGCTTATCTCTGAACAAAGCTCAAATGAGATTTTCTGACCACACTGTTCAGCATCCATCTGCCTGTATAGCTGTCCACCCGTTTACATTTTGACTTCTTGAGAATTAATGGGCCAAATCTAAGAAAAGTTGGCACAATGCATTCTGGGGTTAAGGGGATTCTAGATTGTAAATTTGAAAGGCAAAATCCTCTTTCTAGAAATTAAAAGAAACGGCAAAAATAAGTTCAGGTAGTTAAAAATCCATCTTCTTAATAAGCACTGGGCTAGCAATTTCACACTTATCCTCCGTACGCAGCACAGTTAAGGTTACAAAAAGGAGGCGGAGCCTAATTTGTACGGGAAAACTTGACTATGACATCATACACATATACGTCATACAACATTTCTTTAAAATACCACAAAATGAGTTGATTTGCTAATTTAACCAGTAAGAAATCATCAAACTACAAAAAAACTTACTACAGCGTGCTGTTTAGTCGTTAGTTAGATCCTACATAACAAGTTGTCAACAAGTCACTGATCGCAATACACTTGTCAATATGACGTCATTTCTTACAACGTGACGTAGTTCGTATGCAGTAAGAGACAGATCAAGTAATATTTTCTCAACAAAATATGTATTCTCAAATTAAAGAAAATATTATATACAGATATTCTATGGGCCAATAACTTGAATTAAAGTCTTCTTCACTATTTTATTAATATATTTTCTGTACATTATGAATTTAATCGACACTGCCGTATATTTGTATGCAAGTACATCGGAGGGTAACGTGGGGGGTCTTAATAAATCGATTTAGTGCAAGGACATACACTCTATGGATCAAAGTAAGCTTTTACATTTCATTTCTTGAACTATTAAGGTATCTGAAAAGTGCTGCGATCCTGATGAAATCTTGAAAACAGTTTAATTATATCGATATTTCATGCCGCTGACCAGCAAATAATATAGCATTCAGTCATACAAATATAATTTTAACAATGAAACTGCAGAAGTTAGACAGGATCGCAGCACTTTTTAGAAACTACAATGCCTGTTGAAAATATTTATATACATGTACTAAACTTGGAAATTTAATTTGGTTATGCCCTTGCACTAGTGATATTTATATGTAACATCAATACTGCAAGTCAATGTGCTAAAATCGCGTAACTGCCCCATCACGTGACTAGTCTAAATATAAAATATAATCGTCCTCGATATGTAGTTATTAATCATAATAACAATTATCCGATATAATAATGTACCAAAAATAATCGCCATCCCGATTACTAATACATTTTTAAATACAAAATTTAGTCGATATTTCCTTTGCGCACCTTAACTGTTCTTCGTAGGGTACCATGTGGAGATTACTCACTGTCTGAAAAGGACATCTGTATATCTAATGATGGGTCTTAGCTAACTTGTCTAATGACAATAGAACTCAAAACATGAGTTTAAATACCCTTAAACAGAAGCTTTATATGCTACAAAATAGACCCTGAATGTGATTTAAATCCATATAACACTTAAGTGACATGAATAGGAAGCACCATCCAGACACATACCGACTGGATAATAGAATCAGCACATCTGCCACTCTGCACACCGAAGCAACCAGGATCGACCCCCTCCCAAGAGCATCAAACCATTTTTTATTATTACGGAAAATTAAGAAATTTATTGATGAACATGCATTACCATAATATATTGTCATTACCCCAGGTCTGGATCCGGAACTATGAGTAGTCTTAAACTGGGATGAAGTCTTACATAATGCATGTGTACAGGAAGAAAAATTCATTTTCTTCTCCATAATGGCAATGCAATACTAGTCATATTGAAATTGAGTAATTCTATTGTTGTGTGCATTCAGACACTTCTTCAAATTAGGGAGGAACCACAAAAAGGGGTAACTTTTCAAAGCAATGTAAGGAAAACATCTTTTAAAGAATACCAAGGCTAAAATTACTCAGTTGAATGACAATGTGGCAATGGAGTTAGGATGGATTAAAATTGGATCAACTTTTGCATAATGCATGTATACAGTATATATTTTATCTCCAGAAAAGCCAAACCCTTTTAGTCATATTGATTTAGAAGCACAGCCATATAATGTGGATTCAACTTTCCTTAAATGATAAACCTCTGGTTTTGGTCAAAATATGAAAATTTTTCATGGGTTTGAAAAGGAGTTAACTCTTGAAAGTCTTTTGATGTAAAATGGTGTTTGGGGTATTATGTATTTTCTGACATGAATTTGAAAAATTTACCCTGTTTTCATTCATTTAGCACTCTGCTTTCATGTCTGTGTAAACGATAGCCATTTATATAGTGTTTACAGTTTTTTAAAGATAGACATTGAAAATAATTAACAAAAATAAATATCGGAATGTTTCTGCAAGCGTCCATAGTGAGCATAATTATATATCAGTAATATTGCATAACCGTTCTTTTTTTTCATTTATATAGAATACAAATATTTGATTTTTTTCACTTGCGTGTTTCTGAATTCAGCAACAAGCAGATTGTCATTTGAATCTGTACATAGTCCCCAGGGTCTACTCATTCCAAAGTCTATGTAACGGAGGAACTGTCCATCCTGGTCTATGATGTGGACACAGTCATTGTTAATATCAGCGGTAAGGATGTGACTCTGACTGTCTGTGGTGATTCCTCGTGGACTGAATGGTTCATTCTCTGGAGCAGGAGTATGTCCAGTGTACCTGAATCTCAGTTTCCCGGCCTGATTGACCACCACTATTGCTTTAGCTTTACTGTCAGACACACCGATAACCAGATTTCTGTTCTCAGTTATGTATCTAATAGAACCACCTGATGAATAGAGAGGTTTACCTTTATCATCAAACTGAATGGTTTGTTTTTCTTTGGTGCCAGAGTAACGGACAACTTTTGTTTGTTTGTCATCATCACTGTCCATGATAACCAGGAGATCATCAGAGGAGGTACTACATGTATAGACACCACGAGGTATCCAGTTCTGTAGTCTGATCACCTCTATCTTCTCATTCTCCACAATGTTCAAAGTTCTTTCATTGTAATCAGTATAAACTAGATCTCCACTTTTTGTTGCTACAATGTCAAATGACCAGTGCCCTGACTTGGTTGTGATTGACTTGAGTTGTGATCCCTGATTGATGCTGTAGAGTTTCATGGTGCTGTCATTTCCACTTGTCCAGATTTCTTCATCACTCAGACAGGCTACATTGATAAGTCGTTCATATCCAGTGCCTATGGTAATGACAGTCTCTGGTTGATCAAGCAGCTGTTTGACTGGAGGAGAGGATCCAGCTTCTGGTGATTTTTGTGTCGTCTTCATGCTGTAGTCATGTTTATCTGAAGTAAAAGAACTTGATGATAAGGATACGAATAGTTTTATCAATTCTTCTCCTTGGACTTTTTCTAGAATGAATTTGGGAAAAGATAGCATAATTTTGGATGGAAGATTTCTGTATCTTTGTACATTGGATGTTATAGTAAACATGTTTGACAAGTCATTAGTGTCTATAGCAATTTCAACTGAATTGATTTCATCCTTGATGTCAGAAATGTTCTTGTTTATTTCATCCAGATGTTTCTGTAGAGTTTGTAACTGTGTGTTTTTCATCTCATCGACTTCAGCTTTAAGTTTCTTGACAAGTTTGTCAATTTCTCTGTGCCAGTCCTCTCCATGTTTTGTTATGGCTGTTGAGAGATCTCTATATTCCTTTTCTAACTGACTCATTTTTTTTTCTACATCAGAAGCAATGTCCTGGTAGGTGGGATAAATTGTTTCTTTTAATTCATTTCTTTCTTTTATAACATTGTCCTTCTTTTCATCCAATACTCTTAAGATTTTATATAATTCATGACCCAAATGTTGATGAGATTCAATGCAGCTGATGCAGACAGGAATTTCACATTCTTTACAGTACATTTCATATTGTTCTTTGCTATGAGTTGTACATCCAGGGTACAGGGGAGTGGATTTTCTGTCTTGAAATTTGACAACTTTATGATCCTTAGATTCACCTGTTGAGATGTGTTCTCCCACACAGGCCTTACACAGGTTGACAAGACATGTATCACAGTGCATCTGTATCACAGCGGCCTCACACAAGTCACATCGCATCACGTCCTGGGCACGGGTACGGGGGTCCATATTTAGATTTTGTGACTGAAACAATAAATGATCAATACTAATGTCAGATTAAGCTATGTATTTATTGAAAGGGCAATAAATCTTTTAATAGACTAGAGAACCACATTGTATGCCTGAGGTATGTAATGGTAACATCAAGGCTAGATTTTTTTCTTTTGTCTCTCTATTATTATCTTGAATTTTTACTGGTCAACTCCTTACTTTCACTGTCACATTGGCGAAACACCATTATAGTAATACATGTAGCAGTATTTTCATGATTTTGTTTATTTTGTGATACTAAATATGCGACATAACAAAACAAGAAATAACAGAACTGTGTGCACAACACTGTCATGATCAGTTGAATAAATCTGACCATAAATGAATTTTGTATGCATGTAAAACACTGAGCAAATGGACAATTGCTCTCTTCAATATATGTACTTGCTGAGATAAAAATGCACTAGGCCCAGTCCAGTATTTTGAGCACAGCATATGTATATGTCATTTGATAAATACAAAATTAATTCACATATTGAATCTTTATTTTAACGAAATTTGTCCCGTGATTTAAGTTCATGGAACTGATTTCCTAAGAAAATGATAATTTTTAAGATCACAAAATGTTTCAATTACTGCTAGGTATATTACCTGTAATGGCGGTCGTCCTATTGATCTCCAGTACACACTGATCATGTGACCTAGTTACCTGTATTTACCTGTCAGATGGTTATACTTCCTGGTCTATAGTGAGGATTTAAACACGTTCAGAACATTATAGTAAAGTCTCTGGCTATTATATTGCTTTTTTAGCTCATCTGAGCCAAAGGCTCAAGAGAGCTTTTCTGATCACATTTTGTCCGTCGTCCGTCCGACTGTCTGTCCGTACGTCTAGCTGTCTAGCTGTCCGTCCGTCTGTCTGTCTGTCCGTCCGTCTGTTAACTTTTCACATTTTCGACTTCTTCTCAAGAACCACTGGGCCAATTTTGACCAAACTTAATACAAAGCATCCTTGGGTGAAGGGAAATTTAAACTATTAAAATAAAGGGCCAAGTCCCCTCACAAGGGGAGATAATCTAGAAAAGACAAAAATAGGGTGGGGTCATTAAAAAATCTTCTTCTCAAGAACCAATGGGCCAGAAAAGCTGAAACTTACGTGGAAGCATCCTGGTATAGTGTAGATTCTAAATTGTTCAAATCATGACCCTTTGGGGAAGGGCGGGGCCACAATGGGGAATCAAACTTTTACATAGAAATATATAGGAAAAATCTTTGAAAATCTTCTTTTCAAGAACCACTGGGCCAGAAAAGCTGAAACTTATGTAGAAGCATCCTGGTATAGTGTAGATTATAAATTGTTCAAATCATGACCCCCGGGGGAAAGGGCGGGGCCACAATGGGGAATCAAAATTTTACATTGAAATATATAGGAAAAACCTTTGTAAATCTTCTACTCATGATCAAGAACCACTGGGCCAGAAAAGCTGGAACTTATGTGGAAGCATCCTTGTATAGTGTAGATTCTAAATTGTTCAAATCATGACCCCCGGGGAAAGGGCGTGGCCACAATGGGGAATCAAAGTTTTGCATAGAAATATATAGGAAAAATCTTTGAAAATCTTCTTCTCAAGAACCAATGGGCCAGAAAAGCTAAAACTTATGTAGAAACATCCTGGTATAGTGTAGATTCTAATTTGTTAAAACCATGACCCCTGGGGGAAGGGCGTGGCCACAATGGGGAATCAAAGTTTTACATAGAAATATATAGGGAAAATCTTTGAAAATCTTCTTCTCAAGAACCACTGGGCCAGAAAAGCTGAACCTTATGTAGAAGCATCCTGATATAGTGTAGATTCTAAATTGTTCAAATCTTGACCCCCGGGGGAAAGGGCGGGGCCACAATGGGGAATCAAAATTTTACATAGAAATACAAAGGAAAAATCTTTGAAAAAATTCTTTTCAAGAACCACTGGGCCAGAAAAGCTGGAACTTATGTGGAAGCATCCTGCGGTAGTGTAGATTATAAATTGTTCAAATCATGACCCCCGGGGGAAGGGCGGAGCCACAATTGGTAATCAAAATTTTATATAGAAATATAAAATAGAAAAGCTGGAACTTATGTGCACAAGGAAGGACCCTGGGGTAGTGTAGATTTCAAATTGTTTAAATTATGATCAGTGGGGTAGGGTGGGGATGCATTATGTATTACAAGGGGGAAATCTGGTAAAGAACAGAATGGTCAAAGCTTCTCAGGTGAGCGATGTGGCCCATGGGCCTCTTGTTTTTAGATGTTATGGTACATGTATTAACATTTTATGTGCCAGATCTCACACCCCCCCCCCTTATTTATAGATTTTTCTACATGAAAGTTAAATAAATATTAAGCGGTTTTTATTAATAAATTTTCGAGTTATGTTGTTTGTTCAAGTGTGAAGAGATATGGAAAGTAAGTATAATTGTAAGTCATTTGATTTATTGAAATTTCATTGGTGAAATTATGTACCGTTTGTGACGAATTCCAAACCTTCATTTTTTAAATTTCCCTCTTGAGGGATGTCAATAGTGATTTTATGATTATAAGAATAAAGAGCTCATGAGCGAGTGAAGAGCAAATAGTGTTTTTCTATAAAAAAAACAAAAACAAAACAAGATGTGTTTGTGAAACACTATGCGCCCGGCGGCAACAGTGTTAAAAACTATTTTTAGCAGATAAGTCACAGTCAAGGTCACAAGGTGATTGACCTTGATGTCATTTGAAAGAAATTCATTAGTGGAGCTGCATACCAAATATGAAGTCTCTATTTTTAGCAGATATGTCAGTCAGGGTCACAAGGTCATGGCATTGGTGTCATTTGAAAGAGCTTTATTGATGGAGTATGCATACTAAATATGTCTCTATCTTTCATGACTCAAAAGTTATGGCGAAGGTTAAAGTTGACAACAGACAGACAGACAAACAGATTAGACAAAAACAATATATGTCTGGGTCTTCTCTCCATTTTTTAAAAATGTGTATTCGTTTCTTTGAATTGAAATACACCCAACGTTTCAAAATCATGGAGAGAAGACCCAGAGATAGAAAAAAAAATTAGAAAAAGGTATTAAAAAATGTACCATTTTGTACAAATGTCTGTCTAATTTTCAAGTTATTTTTTAGCAAATCAAAACTCAATTTCGGGAAAATATTTTCCTTTCCTGTTGCACAGGGACCCAATAAATTAAAAAAATGTTAAAATTTCATGTAACATGTCGATAAAATTGTCACTTTTCACTTTTCAAGTACGCCCAGATTTCTGCCGAATGCCAATCAAAAGCGCCCTCGTTCTTTAATACCCCAAATCCAGAATCTGCATACAAGTTTTTTTAAGTTTATCAGGTACCAATAGTTTAATTATTATTTATTTCCACAGCTATATATAGAAAATTGTTTCAATTTTTGATGGGCGATATTCTTGAACACTTTAACTTTCGATCCAACACACATCTCTCAAAGTCTAATGGTCACAGAAATCTGGTTTTGGGGTCAGTAATCTTCATTATGAAAATCAGTTACCATGCATCCTTTCTTCCTTTTATGAACAGAGAAAGCAAAATTTGTGTAGAAAATCTCTTTTCTGAGCGAAGGGATTGAGCAAGAATCTGCAGGACTCCTAAGATGTTATAAATCAGCATCAACTTATCTCTTCTGCCTGGTATAAGATGAGGATGCTTGCATAGCTGTATTACTTAGATAAAATGTAGAATGAACCATAATTCCAGCTCTTATAAGTTAAAGTGTTCAAGAATATCGCCCATCAAAAATTGAAACAATTTTCTATATATAGCTGTGGAAATAAATTGCCATGTTTTCAATAAGCTGACTGCATAAACCAGATACACTATAAAACCACAAAAGGTTTTAAGGTTGACCGATACTCTGATGAGAAAAATAACTCTGTAAGACGTAAACGTCTAATATTCCTTTATAGAATTGATAAGTTGAAATGATTTTTTTTGTACAAATTTGCCTCGCAAACAATGATATGACATTGTTTTTATTGCCCTCTGCAAAAATTTGATCTTTTCAATTAAAGTTTGTATATGACAATTCAAATTTAAATTGAAAATTTCAAATTTTTGTTGAGGACAGTAATTTACTTATAAATAATGCATTTCTTTTGAAAAATATAGGAATTAAAGCAACATTTTACATGAGTGAGCAAAGGGTTTATGGACCTTAATGTATAGTTTCCTGAGACACTTGAAATATAAAATGAAGATGTTAAATAATTTCCTTGTTTACATTTTTCAGCTCAAATGTACATGTTTTTCACCCATCTGATTTTATTTTACTTCCGTAGAATTTTGAAAACCAAGATTTAATCTGAATTAGAGGCCCATCGGCCTAAATGGTCACCCGGCGGCCGTCACTAGGATTTGATCATGTACCGTCAGTATACGTGTATATGTATACGTGTATGTAAACATAATGCATGATGCACAGGCACCTGTCGTTACTTTTTTAAATAAAGAAATATACCCCCTACCTAATGTAAACATTAAGCAGGGGGTATTTTTTTTTATTTTGAAAAAAAAAAATAAATAAGTAACGTCAGGTGCCTGTTGCACGATGGTGACTAAACTTGACATCTGTTGAAAATGTACTCACTGAAAACTGAATATGATAGAATGTGAAGTAACACAGGCGACTGCCTATCTCCATTGATCCTCTTTATTGCATGCGGTACAGAGCATTGATGTAGTTAATGCTCTACAGATTGGGGAGATATTTATGTAAGATAAAGCTTGGAAATGATAGTTCATAGAATTACTGGTCGTCTGATGTAAGCAAGAAATAAGCCCAGACAGAAAACATTTAGATATAATCAACTATGAGCATACGAGGTAAATTGATGCACAACTGTACTGAATGCCGCTATATTGACATTTGCATTATGCTATAGCATAATTTATCCATTTTGACATTATAAAATATCCCTTTTCGCAAATTTCATGTAATTACAGTTTGAGTTGTCTCTCTTGCATTAGGTTCAGAACTCGAATATAGAAACTTGAAAGTTCAAGTAGTTGTTTTAAGTTGTCATATGCATTCTTTACTTTTTTGGTGGGAGGGGTGGCGGCGTGTGAGGGGGGGGGGGTATGAAGTATTTTCAAATGTGCATCTGTGTACGATATATAAAATTTAAGACAATATCTGATAAGTTAATACTCCCTTATCCTCATACTTTGTTTGTAAACATTAAACTCGTATCTCAGCCCAGTTTCGATTAAAGCACAATCAAAAAACAAGAGGCCCATGGGCCACATCGCTCACCTGAGTAACTTGGGTGATGCAGATCTTTACCAGATTTCCCCTCTTGCTATACCTATCATGCCCAACAACCCCCTTCCCTTTTTTATTTTAAAACTTTAGAATCTACACTACCCAAGGATGCTTCCACATAAGTTTCAGCTTTCCTGGCCCAGTGGTTCTTGAGAAGATTTTTAAAGATTTGTTCTATATATTTCTATGTAAAACTTGGATTCCCTATTGTGGCCCCGCCCTACCCCCGGGGGTCATGATTTTAACAATTTAATATCTACACTACCCAAGGATGCTCCCACATAAGTTTCAGCTTTCCTGGCCCAGTGGTTCTTGAGAAGAAGATTTTTAAAGATTTGTTCTATATATTTCTATGTAAAACTTGGATTCCCCATTGCGGCTCGCCCTACCCCCGGGGGTCATGATTTTAACAATTTAATATCTACAGTACCCAAGGATGCTCCCACATAAGTTTCAGCTTTCCTGGCCCAGTGGTTCTTGAGAAGAAGATTTTTAAAGATTTGTTCTATATAATTCTATGTAAAACTTGGATTCCCTATTGTGGCCCCCCCCTACCCCCGGGGGTCATGATTTTTACAATTTAATATCTACACTACCCAAGGATGCTTCCACATAAGTTTCAGCTTTCCTGGCCCAGTGGTTCTTGAGAAGATTTTTTAGTGACCCCACCCTATTTTTGTATTTTCTTGATTATCTCCCCCTGGGAGGAGACTTGGCCCTTCATTTTAACAATTTAACCTCCCCTTTACCCAAGGATGCTTTGTACCAAGTTTGGTTAAAATTGGCCCATTGGTTCTTGAGAAGAAGTCGAAAATGTGAAAAGTTTACAGACGGACAGACAGACAGACGGACGGACGGACGACGGACAAAATGTGATCAGAAAAGCTCACTTGAGCCTTAGGCTCAGGTGAGCTAAAAAAAATACTGGAAAGAATATGTAATGCTACGTGTATCAGTTCTTACAGAATTTCCTGTTTTCACACTAGTATGTTGTTTACACGTTGGTCTGTCGATCTGATGCAGGAGCTATAATGCTGATGGAATGCACCTATAGCTAGCTCCGGCTGAGGTCGCACGAACAGAAAACCTTTGTTTATAAGGGGGAACTTGCCAACAAAGTTATTTTATCTTTTTTATACTTTAGATGCGCCTGTATACTAGAAACTTGGCTTCGATTCAAACGTGTATCTGCAAAAAACAAATCACAAGCCTTTCCACACAGTTTCATCAGTTTAAAAAGAAAACCTTTATTATGTAGTACAAATTATGTAAAATAAATTAAAATACTTCTAAAACACAATGTAAATATATATATATTTATATAGACACGAGTAAACTATACATCTCTTCTTGCTGAACATTTGTTAATAGGCACCTGTTATTAAAATTTGTGAACAATCTAGCAATAAATGTAATTCAGCATCAAAAATATCATTAATTGCAAATTTCATCCAATATTCCCTCGCCTTGACTCTTTTTTCTCAACAAACTTAACGGCTGCATTTGACGAATCGGTCGTGAGAAATGTGTATTCTTTCTTAGAGTTTCTTCTCTATTTGACAAAAATGGACATTCTTGAGATTCTGATGAATAAGTAAAAAAAAAAGGGGAGTCATAATAATTTTTTTCCGCTAATGCCGATGTTGATAACTACAGAGATATTTTATTAATAGCCAGCAGCACAAAATAAAGCAATCTGTTTGATAACAACTTACATACAAAGAATACTAAGGAAAAGGGAAGGAATTAAAAATGTCCTGGATGACTCGCTCTGAGATAATTTATTGTTTTATTGTCTAATTAATTTGAAAACCACTTCTCAGTTTATAATGCTGACGTCACTGGCAAGAGGAACAATATAAAAACAACTAGTTTTTGTTATTATGGCACCTCGGTAGTGAATAGATACCTATTCCAAACGAAGACAATATACACATTAATCCAGCAGAATTGATTGAGTCATGTTATTCGACCTCAGTGTATAAACGTATAAAATCTCTCTGGATCTGAGGCGTGGATCTATCTTCTCGCTACAGTGACAGTAGTGGTGGTGGTCTTGGTGGTTCGCACCGCGCCCCCACTGGATCCGCCGACGATGATGACGTGAGAGCGACGATCGACGATGAGCAGGATGCCGCCGATAACGGCGAGGATCGCAGCGATGATGCAGAGAACGAACGCCCAGGATAAATTATGCTTGGCCTGATCAATCACATATATCAAAATACCAAGTATGATCAAACCGGCTGTAAAACAGAAAATATTCATAAAATAAATGAATGGATGGCTGAAAACAATCTAATGTAAATAGTGAGCTAGGTATTAAATTAAAATAAATCGCTATATATATAGTCAACTTTTGTCTTAAGTGATATAATATAATAAAGCTTCAAGAAAGTATTACTGTAAGCTTATTTTAGCGGTACATGTATAGTCATATAGTTTGCGAATTTTGCAAGTCTTCTTCAGTGACACATCGAATGCCTTGTGCAGGGCCTTTTTCCTTTTGTTGACAATAAAACAAATTCATAACATGTTGATGTAGTTGAAACATAGTATATAGCCCACTGTGTATATATATATATATATTATATACACAATGTATACAGCACAAATCTGTAAATGAAAATCGGCAAATTTATATATACTATCATGTAGGGTGCATGTGTAATAGGGTGTGTGTGTGTTGGGGGGGGGGGTACCCACACTTTAAACCCTGTCTCCAGAACCGTTAGAACAGTGCATTTGTATCCCCAAGTTGACCTTACAGCATACTACTTAGTACATAAATGCATCTTGGCATAAACATCATAGGGAAACCACATGAAAAAGCTCTTACAATGCTCTTTGTACCGACCCAACCCTTGTTATGAAAATACTTGATCCGCGCTGGTTTGCTAATATTTAAAATTCTTTGATCATGTTGATAAGAAATGATGTAAACTGTGAGATGCTTGCAATGCGTTCGTTTTCTTGCTTCTTAATAAAGTTGGAATATTCCGACCAGGATAAATTAAGCGAAAGCACAGGGGAAGATTTGGAATGTTTTCAAGTTGTATCGATTCACAGAATAACTTTATAAACGCCAGTCAACCCTTACCATGATTGATACATGTATATCCTTAACATTTCGTGACATTTTTATAAATTTCACAAACTTCATCGGCGAACTAAGAATTCTCACGGAATGAATTACTCACTTGTAGTAGGTAAACTTTTACATATTTCTCTGTGCTACAAAAGCACTCATCTGTAACTAATTCTTGCATGCTATCGCGCTCATAAAAACAAAAAACAAAAAATTAGGAAAATATTTGGCCTGTGATATATTTTATGAAAAACATAAATTGCACACATTCATTCGTGTAACCCACATCAGGTATGAAATAATCGCGCGACCATCTGATTTAGCTTCTGATTGAATGCAAGCGCGGCATCTATACTATCATTAAGTTTCTCCTGAATGTCTCATTGCGTTTCGTAGCAACAGAATCCCCTAGATCTATCAGACGTGTGGGTTGCAACCCCCTCGTGTCTTACACACGGCGGGCACCTTGCAATATTTTGGATGCAGCTGTCAACACGTTTCACCAGAAAGGCATTCCAAGTTTCCTCTCTGTTTAGCGTCTGCTAATCCTACCTATATGTACTCGCTAAAAACAAACCAGCCCCCCCCCCCCACCCCCACCCCCCGAGAGAAACAAATAAATAAAACAGAACCTTTAAAGTCCTAAAAGACAAAAAATCAAGGGATTAAGGTATGTCAACAACCAAGGCGCACGCATACGCTACACATAGGAAAAACTTGGAATGGCCTAAGATACACATGTATAAGCAACAACTGTGAATATAGACTCAGTAAACTCACCAACTTCATTAAATCGTCGGCGCCCCTTATCGTTTTAATAAAGATCTCTAAGAGAAATTATTACTGGGAACAAACGAAGATATAATCCTTTACTTAAAACAGAAAATTATGAACTTAGTTTGATCTAGGTAACTCTTCAAAAACAAAGTGTACAACTTGTAAAGAAACTGCATTGAAGCTCTGCTATAATTAGAGGATTTTTCATGACGTCATAATGATCGATCTTACCTGCCACGAATGCGCAGATGGCGGAAGCCAGGACAAGCTGGAGGTTCGGACTTGCGCAGATATGGACCAGCAGCAAGATCAGGATGATGACCAGCAAAATGAAGGCAATCGTCTCAAAGGCACGGATCGCGCCCATAGATCCACTCCCTAAAACATAAAAAAAAATCTAGTGAGGATATTGCTCTCGCATGCATGTACCATTATTTTTCAAATATATTTGATAAAATAAAATAATCATGAAATTAAGAGGACTGGAAGGCGGTGAGGGTTGGAGTCCTTTTGAAGTTCTACCTTTTGAATTCATACAAAAACGTATAGGTCTTATTTTGATGTTAATTGTGTACATGTTAGCATTAGCAAATGATATAGATATATTATTAACACAGGGAAGTATATACATTCTTTTTTTAAGCATGAAGTTAATCATTCTAAGCGATTCAAGGATGTAATTTTAGGAACTTATTTAACATTGTTCAATTCATTGGTGACATTCAACATTTTGCATTGGAGATATAATGTCAATAAAGAGAAGCGTCTTTTGAAATTATATGAAGCTGTTTTAAAGTTTAATTTTAACAAAAAGGCCCGTATGAGACAAACTTTGCTTATATTTTTAGACAGGATCGAAGAAAGAAACGTCGTAAGGCATTGATACTGAAAGACACCCTTAAATCAGCATTGACTTTCTACTGTTAAATTGTTAATTATCTCTAATTTAAATACATGAAAAAGTCATTGTTTGCATGATATGTATGCTATATTTATTGATTTGTAGCATCCGGCCCCTCCCGGTTTCCTGAATCCCATAAAAACACGATACTCTGGCGGGTCCTGAAATCTTAAAGGGTAAGTTTGGGGCCAGGGTGGGGGGGATCTTCAGCCACACCAAAAAATATTGATATATCAAAACCTGTGTCTTTTTTTTTGGACACAAAGAGGAGGCGGGTCCATTGCCCCCTTTACATTAGCAAGTGGGATATATACATTAGTAGAAATCAGGCGCGGATCCAGGAATTGAAGTTGGGGGGGGGGGCGCCAAAAATAGGCAAGGGGTCTGGGGGCCGCCTTGAGGCCCCCAGTGGGTTCAGGGCAAAGCTCCTGGATTCTAGAGATTTTGTAGGGTAAAAATGAGGTCTACCGAGTAGACATATTTACATTTTCTAGACAAAACTGTGATTTACGTTAACTTTGACAATTTTAGGGGGGCGCGCGCCTGGTGCGCCCCCTTAAATCCGCCACTGGAAATGGTAAGACTGTTACTTACCTGGCATTTCATTACAGCGGCTGGTGCACCACTGCCAGAGTCCAGCATTATAATTGTAGTACGACACCCAGTAGGGACAGGCGAATCCCAGGAGCTGACACACGGCGGCCCCTATCAACAGACCAAGGGCCACCTTTAACAAAACGGACATCACCAACATGGCTGCTTAAACTATCAATATATTATCCGGGACAATAGAAAATGCCTCTCCCTAAAGCGATGCTACACACACAACAACAAACACTCCGTGTGTTGGCTTACTACACACAAGATGAATCAGCGCGGCAAAGCGACCGCCGCCTACAAAACAATTTTTTTCGGAACGCGCCCTTCCGTTGTAAATTCCATCCAAAAAGGAACTTGAACAGCTTAAACAATTTCCTTCTCTTTCTAATTTGTAAGACACTATAGCTCTTTACTCATATTTGTATGCAAAAAAATCATTTGTCCAAAATGACTACCATCTCATAACGAAGGGCCGGGGCTTTATCTCTGTTTTATGTCGCGTAATATAAATAACTTAATCAATATCTACTATAGCCTGTTGTTTGTATTAGCGGTCAGAGAGAGAGAGAGAGAGAGAGAGAGAGAGAGAGAGAGAGAGAGAGAGAGAGAGAGGAGAGTTTAATAAAAAGACAGCACTTTAAAATTCCTTGGTGAAAAAAATTACTTAACTGTACATGTATTGCTATTAAGATAGGCATTGACAAATTGGTTACGTTTTATTTCTAATTTAGGGCAAACTGCGGTAAATTATTCCTTTTTGCATGGCTATAATTATGAATAAGGATCACATTCTTTGTGAATGCAGATGTACATAATAGGAAGCATGAGTCAATTTAAAGCCACAATGAATTATTCTTAAAAAATCAAAGTACATGTACTCCGTATCTGTAGAGATCATAAATTTACAACTGATTTACTCTTAAAATTAACTACGTATTTTTGAATTTTTATTCTGACAAATTAGTAACATACATAACATTCGTATCTACTCGAAATTCCCAATCCGAACTTATAGTTTATAACCCCAATCCATCTCAATACGATGTAAAACTACAACAAAAGATTGATACACGAACTACTTTTATCGTCTTTCTGTCGTCTGTCAAACGATTTGCATAAATTATATCCAATCGTTTACACTGCAACTATTGTAGTGATGTCCAATTGATGATATGTTTGTCTAGTGTAGAATTAGTCACATCTTGATAAATCTTAAATAATCGATTTTTTTGCCCCCCCCCCCCCCCCCCCCAATAAGAGATGAGTCTACATGCACACGCCTCGGTGTAACAGCTGATATTATCCGCATGTAGCCCGGAGTGAACCTTGTGATCGGTGTTTATGACACATGAACTTCAGCAAAACTCATAAAATTTTGAAGTAATCCTCTTAAAGATTGACGTGTACTTAACATTTATCTAAAGCATTCTCTAATAAAAGCATTTGAAAGTGTATACATCCTATCATTGATGGAAAAATTCAGAGTTATTTTTTTTCCCGGTAGAGACCCAATGCATGTGATTGTAAAAAAACAATAATAACGTTTATAAGAATGGAAAAAAAGATGGGGACGCTTAAGGATAAATAACACAAATTTTCTTTTCTTCAAAATTCAAATATTTTTGCTTAATTTAAACAGGTGCCTCAGTTACTGCGGAAGTTGTCAAGTTGTAAATCAATCTAATTTATAATTTAGATGTTAGATCCGCTCGCATACTCGCTAAACTAACAACGATGTAAGTGTATCGATATGCAAGCGGATCTAACATCTCATTTTAATTAGATCGGTTGAATGTATTTTTTTTTATTTACTGCCAATCAGTAAATTAAAAATTTACGATATGACAAAGTTTCATCTGTTTGTAATTACAACTTCTGTGTGGGAGAAATTTTTTTTGTGGTATAGATCTTTAAAGGATAATAGAGCTACATGTATACAGATCAAAAGCCATTACGAGTGCCCTCTTGTACACTGAAATCCTAGAGGTGTATTTACACAATGTTAGGTATGAACGTCATTTATTTGAAAAACATTAGAGCCTCGTTTAAGCCTTCCTTTATCATACAAGATCCAATTGAGTTTTCCTAACTCTTCAATAATCGGGACGACCAATCGTTTCGGATTAACGAGGTTATACTGTAATAAAAGTACGGATTGGGAATTCCTTCTGTTTTCTCCCTTTTACATTTCATATATTTATTTTTCCAATTGAGGTATCTTTATTATTTCATTTCTTCTTTCTTTCTTTCTTGTTATTTTTTTGGCTATGATAAACTGAGTCTTACCCTCCTGTGAAGTTAAGCAGTCATTTTTCACAAAAACAAAAAGAATGTGGAATGGAACAACTCATAATAAATATTCGAAGGAAATATTCAAGTTGTCTAACTCTAAAGAACTGCTGGATAAAGGAAAAATAAGCTTTTGTTCGCTACTTGTAATGAAAACAGCAAAATGCGGAGGAGGGCTTTACCGCTACTTTGATAATGCATTTGAAGTGGGCTGATTTACTGGCGGTCGACTAATACACAAGGCATCTGATCTGAAGTGAAGTTATATTTTTCCATCCGCTTTCTCGCTGCGAGTGAACGAAACTCATCCCCTAAAAATTCTTATCTTTTTTTTTTTTAGAGAATAATCAACAAAATTTCGAATTGTGATGCATGTTGTTTAAATCTACTGAAATAAATTTTGCAATTTTTTTTGTCTATTTTATTGCAGATATTACTAATACATGCATGAAATATGCCGTGCTTTATTTTACGAAATGATATTTTTTATGCATCAGCTGTTACACGGAGGCGTGTGTAGGCCAATCTCTAAAGGGAAAGGGGGGGGGGGCAACGGCAGGAAAAATCTATCAAGATTTGACAATTTCTACCCTGGAAAAATCTATCATCAATAGAACATTAGCATTGCCCTCCTGTACAAAACAGTTGTGCAGTCATAGGTCATACATGTATACAATAAAAAAATCACTTAATATTTCTCAGTATACCAGCTACTCTACCTAAAACATCTGTACGGAGAACTCATACAAAGGAAGATAAGGCAATAAAAATTATCGTGAACCATTGATTACTGTTTGAGTAATGGTTCTTTGCTAGGAATAATTTCCATGTAGTCATGCAGAGTTTCAAGGGAAGAGGAACTGTACATAATACCCAGGGTTATACATTATTTTAATAATCTCACGTGTATAGTTGATATATATACTGGTACCACATGAGTTTGTGTACTTATTAATTTTACCGAATTTTCAGTAAATTAAAAAATACGTAATACCTATTAGGCTGTTCAAAGTTAATTCTACGTGTAACGTCACATCTTAAGTTCAAAACCTACGAGGGAGGGAGGAAAAAAATAAACAAACAAAATTTTCAAACAATTGTGAATTTATTCAAATTAACCTATTCAGTACATTAAAAACATTACAATCAAGTAATATGAGCATTTAACTCTTTACACCTTACTGAACTGTTTTGCAACATACACTTAATGTTCACGTCATAAAAACAGAAATTTACCATTTCCCCGCAAGCATCGTATTGCGTGGTATACGTTTCTCTAAAATTTGTCGTAAATAATATAATGACGTAGAATTTTAATACAAATATAACTTTTCTTATTTTATGAGATTTTTGCAAGTATAAAATAGAATGAAATTGGCATTACATTAAAGATTAAATGAACTTTTTAAAGTGCGTGAAAATGCGTGATTGCGGGGAAACGGTATATGCGTGATTTTGCGTTAGAAATAGGAAACAGTATATGCGTTAAAATGCGTGACTGCGGGGAAGGGGGTTAATTGATATGACACCCAAGATTAATTTTCCTAGCGGAGTTTTTCCTTAGTATGTTAAACCCCTGTCACACCGGGGCTGCGTCCTCACGGCGACTGCACGGCGTCCTCAAAAAATGCAAAACGCCGAGGTGCTCGCAGTGGAGTCTCCTACAGCGCCGAGACAACTCGGTGAGATCTCCACTGAACGCCGTAGGGTCGCGTAGGGTCTCCTAGAACGCCAGAGGACGGCGATCACTTTGGGCATGCACAAAGTACGCGCCGTGTGATCGCGGTCTGATAAGAACGCAGTAGCGTAGCAGCGCGATGAGATCTCCAACAACGTAGTGGGAGCTCCGTACGAACGCCGTGAAGACGCACATGATCGCAGCACGAACGCAGTGATAGAAGACTGCGCTTCCGCGGAGACCTCACGGAGATGTCGCGGAGTCCTTGGAGATGTCACTGCGTTTCTATCGCGTTTTTACGGCGCTTCTAATGAGATTTATCGTCTTGTGAATTTTTCGACAGCGATTACACGGCGACAGCACGGAGTTGTCACTGCGATCGTTGCGCTCCCGTGGCGTTTCTACAGCGTCCGTTGGCGATCACAATGCGCTTTCACGGCGTTGTTAGAGCATTGTTAGCCAGCTCACAAAACAAGAGCAATGGGATCATAATTCCAACGTATTTGATTTCCTAGGAGCATTTAAGTAAAACATGGAAGAGAAAATTACACCAGAACTTGTTCTGTTGTTTCACTTAAATTTTGTAGAAAACTTTTCAGTTTGTTTATTTTTTTTTACGTTCATATTAATAAAATCAAAGAAAATTAACAACACATCTGAACCGATAAAATTGAGGAAAAAAGTTTAATCATAAAAGTATTAATAATTTAGTACTAAATTATTTAAATAGAACATTTTTAATTATTAAGAATTTTTCTTGTCATAATAAGAAGTCTTTTCATCGTGTAACTTGAATCTTTAAACAAAAATGTTTTACATTCCTTCTGAATATATATCAATGGTTATAGAACGCATTGTGAACGTATTGTGAACGCAGCCAGCGCAGTGAGAACGCCGTGAACACGAGGTGAAAACTCCTAACGCGCCGTGAAAACTCCGCGGATGTGCAGTCAATCGCAGAGAGATCTCCGTGGGAACGCAGTAGAACGCCGTAAGATCGCCGTAGAATCGCGACCGTCGCCGTAGGAACGCCGTGACATCTTCACATTGTGAAAATTTTACAGAAATTTGGGCAATTTTCCTGAGATTCCACGGCGATTTAAAAAATTTAACAACGCCGTAATGACTCCGTGTGAACGCAGGTCGGTGTGACAGGGCCTTTATTAATCAGTTTGAGTCCTATTGTTAGCAAAAAATGTAGTCTAAGACTGAATGTGCAGGAAAGTGTCTTTTAACTAGGCCTCAGTTGTCCTTTGAATTTAAATTGCCACACGTCCATGGTACCCTGGAGGCAAATGCTTCTTCTTGTGGGAATAGTTGCTCAATATCTACAATTAAAATTATTGATGACAATATTTAAAACTGTTCATGTTGAAATATCCTCAA